TAGCATGTTAGCATTGTCCGTCTGTATACAGTCTGTGTTAGCATTGTCCATCTGTATACAGTCTGTGTTAGCATTAGCGTCCGTATACAGTCTGTGTTAGCATTGTCCATCTGTATACAGTCTGTGTTAGCATTAGCGTCCGTATGCAGTCCGTGTTAGCATTGTCCATCTGTATACAGTCTGTGTTAGCATTGTCCATCTGTATACAGTCTGTGTTAGCATTGTCCATCTGTATACAGTCTGTGTTAGCATTGTCCATCTGTATACAGTCTGTTAGTTAAACCGATCTCTCTTCTTAAACCCACATTAGTAATCCCGACACTTGTATACTACTCTGTTCTAATATGGAATTATTGTCTATTGATGAGTCTAATTGCCTTATGCATTTTGATCTGTGTTTTCAGCCCTTTAATGTTCACTCCTTGAAGAAAGCAATGTATTTTTTGGGTCAGATTTTCTAAAAACACTAATAACAAAATTTGTGTTTATAATAATGGGATGCAGCTTGAAGTGAATGTGCCTCAGACCAACCAACAGAGATTCTCCAAGTCGATACAGCGCGACTCAAAAATTATTGAGGAAACCATTAAAGGGTTAAATAGCTCTTGTGAAGCGCCTTGTACACCACTTTGTGCTATACAAGCTGATGGATTGATTCCACAGCCACACATTGACTGTTTAAACTGCACAGTCGACCGGAGAGGAGGATATCCATGTCTCTGTCACTAAAGGGAATGTCTGTATTTTCAGCTTCCTCCTGCCGTCCTGGTCTTCATGGTCATATTCAGACGCAGGATTAAGCACAGTTGAAAGCCGCCTCTTTTGTCGTGGCTCTTTTTGATTATCACTATCTTTTTGTCGTACTGTGCAGAAAAGGCGCCTGTAGCAGCGTCCTCCGCTCTCTGCGCTGGAGATGAAGACGCTCTCCTCAATTCTCATTTAAAATGTATGACTTTACATCGGGACACCACCGGCAAACAGCACGCCTTTGACAATACGTTATAATCCAGGTAAAAGGGGAAAGTATGTGTTGAATATTGATGCACTTTGTATATGATATGAATTATATATACAGGTTTGATCTGCCGAACAAGGGTGGGTGGTCCGTGTACGAGGGAGAACAGGTATGGAAATTTACAACAACGTAACCGTGAAATAAAATATATTCTCCATGTATCTGTCTGTCTGTCCGTCCGTCCGTCCGTCCGTCTATCTATCTATCTATCTATCTATCTATCTATCTATCTATCTATCTATCTATCTATCTATCTATCTGTCTGTCTGTCTGTCTGTCTGTCTGTCTGTCTGTCTGTCTGTCTGTCTGTCTGTCTGTCTGTCTGTCTGTCTGTCTGTCTGTCTGTCTGTCTGTCTGTCTGTCTGTCTGCGGCACGGTGGCTGAGTGGATAGCACTCTCGCCTCTCAGCAAGAAGGTCCTCGGTTCGAATCCCGGTTGGACCAGGGCCTTTCTGAGTGGAGTTTGCATGTTCTCCCCGTGTCTGCGTAGGTTTCCTCCGGGTGCTCCGGTTTCCCCTACCACTAAAAATATGTACAATAGGTCTGGCATGTGCCTCCTGTACTGGCACCCCCAACCCCAAAAATAACAATTGTAAACCGCTTTGAGACTCCGATGTGCAGTGAAAAGGCGGTATATAAATAAAGATTACTACTAAAGATTACTTACTACTCTGTCTGTCTGTCTGTCTGTCTGTATCTGTCTGTCTGTTTATCTATCTATCTATCTATCTGTCTATCTATCTATCTGTCTGTCTATCTGTCTATCTGTCTGTCTATCTGTCTGTCTGTCTGTCTGTCTGTCTGTCTGTCTGTCTGTCTGTCTGTCTGTCTGTCTGTCTGTCTGTATCTGTCTGTCTGTGTCTGTCTATTATCTGTATCTATCTGTCTATCTATCTGTCTGTCTATCTATCTGTCTGTCTATCTGTCTGTCTGTCTGTCTGTCTGTCTGTCTGTCTGTCTGTCTGTCTGTCTGTATCTGTCTGTCTGTTTATCTATCTATCTATCTATCTGTCTATCTATCTGTCTGTCTATCTGTCTGTCTGTCTATCTGTCTGTCTATCTGTCTGTCTGTCTGTCTGTCTGTCTGTCTGTCTGTCTGTCTATCTGTCTGTCTGTCTGTCTGTATCTGTCTGTCTGTGTCTGTCTGTTTATGTATCTATCTATCTATCTGTCTATCTATCTGTCTGTCTATCTGTCTGTCTGTCTATCTGTCTGTCTGTCTGTCTGTCTGTCTGTCTGTCTGTCTGTCTGTCTGTCTGTCTGTCTGTCTGTCTGTCTGTCTGTCTCTGTCTGTCTGTGTCTGTCTGTCTATCTATCTGTCTGTCTATCTGTCTGTCTGTCTGTCTGTCTGTCTGTCTGTCTGTCTGTCTGTCTGTATCTGTCTGTATCTGTCTGTCTGTGTCTGTCTGTTTATGTATCTATCTATCTATCTGTCTATCTATCTGTCTGTCTATCTGTATGTCTGTCTATCTGTCTATCTATCTATCTGTCTGTCTGTCTATCTATCTATCTATCTATGTATCTGTCTATCTATCTCTGTCTGTCTGTCTGTCTGTCTGTCTGTCTGTCTGTTAAGTTATATGCTAAATCTAGTGGTCCACGCACATTTTTTGTTGCTCAAACATGTGGATTTTTAAAGATTTTTCTTGTGGCTCCTTTAGATTTTTTGTGTGAATTTATGGATTATAAAAGAAAACAATATTTTGATGTTTATAGTTAAATCTGTTGGTTCCCTGTTTGATGAGCCTTGACCGTGAAATGGGAAACCCTTCAGAATTTCGCCCAGAGTAAGTAATGTTTATTTATATAGCGCATTATACAGACCAAAGTCACTCAAAGTGCTTTACAATGTTCAGAGTTCAGATATAGAAAGCAGCAATACTCAATCCATATGATATATTTACATCCACTGTCCACAGTGGATGGGTCCAAATAATCTGTTTTTCTTGTGTTTCATGAACCTGGCCAGTAGGGGGCGAATGAGCTATTTTGCAAAGTGCTATAAGTTTGAGTCATTTTAAACAGTCTCCCGTTCCCGTCTGTTCGTTATGATGGAGAGACTTTGTGCTGTTTTAAAACCGGAGTCTGAGAAAGAAACACTGACAGCTTTACCTGCTCCTGACCCACGAGAGCCGCTCTGACTGACAACAGAGGAGAGGGGGTGGGGGGGGGGGAGGCAGGAGGAGAGAGGAGAGAGAGACTGTGCTACAGGTCTGAGAGAGAGAGGGGGAGACTGTGCTACAGGTCTGAGAGAGAGAGGGGGAGACTGTGCTACAGGTCTGAGATAGAGAGAGGGGGAGGGAGGGGGGGGAGACTGTGCTACAGGTCTGAGAGAGAGGGGGGGGAGGGAGGGAGGGGGGGAGACTGTGCTACAGGTCTGAGAGAGAGAGGGGGGAGGGAGGGGGGGAGACTGTGCTACAGGTCTGAGAGAGAGAGGGGAGGCAGGGGGGAGACTATGCTACAGGTCTGAGAGAGAGAGGGGAGGGAGGGGGAGGAGACTGTGCTACAGGTCTGAGGAGAGAGGGGAGGGAGGGGGGAGAGAGAGACTGGCCACAGGTCTGAGAGAGGGAGGGGGCGAGGGGGAGACTGTGCTACAGGTCTGAGAGAGAGAGGGGGGAGGGAGGGGGGGAGACTGTGCTACAGGTCTGAGAGAGAGAGGGGGAGGGAGGGGGGAGACTGTGCTACAGGTCTGAGAGAGAGAGGGGAGGGAGGGGGGAGACTGTGCTACAGGTCTGAGGGAGAGAGGGGAGGGAGGGGGAGACTGTGCTACAGGTCTGAGAGAGAGAGGGGGGAGGGAGGGGGGGGGAGACTGTGCTACAGGTCTGAGAGAGAGAGGGGGAGGGAGGGGGAGACTGTGCTACAGGTCTGAGAGAGAGGAGGGGAGGGAGGGGGGGGGGGGGGGACTGTGCTACAGGTCTGAGGGAGAGAGGGGGGAGGGAGGGGGGAGACTGTGCTACAGGTCTGAGAGAGAGAGGGGAGGGAGGGGGGAGACTGTGCTACAGGTCTGAGAGAGAGAGGGGAGGGAGGGGGGAGACTGTGCTACAGGTCTGAGAGAGAGAGGGGAGGGAGGGGGGAGACTGTGCTACAGGTCTGAGAGAGAGAGGGAGGGAGGGGGAGACTGTGCTACAGGTCTGAGAGAGAGAGGGGGGGAGGGAGGGGGAGACTGTGCTACAGGTCTGAGGAGAGAGGGGGAGGGAGGGGGGAGACTGTGCTACAGGTCTGAGAGAGAGAGGGGGAGGGAGGGGGGAGACTGTGCTACAGGTCTGAGAGAGAGAGGGGGAGGGAGGGGGAGAGACTGTGCTACAGGTCTGAGAGAGAGAGGGGAGGGAGGGGGGGAGACTGTGCTACAGGTCTGAGAGAGAGGGAGGGGGGGAGACTGTGCTACAGGAGAGAGAGAGGGGGGGGGGGACTGTGCTACAGGTCTGAGAGAGAGAGGGGAGGGAGGGGGAGACTGTGCTACAGGTCAGAGAGAGAGGGGGGAGGGAGGGAGGAGACTGTGCTACAGGTCTGAGAGAGAGAGGGGGGAGGGGGGAGGGGGGAGACTGTGCTACAGGTCTGAGGGAGAGAGAGGGGGGAGGGAGGGGGGAGACTGTGCTACAGGTCAGAGAGAGAGAGGGGAGGGAGGGGGGGGGAGACTGTGCTACAGGTCTGGTGAGAGAGAGGGGAGGGAGGGGGGAAGACTGTGCTACAGGTCAGAGAGAGAGAGGGGAGGGGAGGGGGGGAGACTGTGCTACAGGTCTGTGAGGAGAGGGGAGGGAGGAGGGGGGAGACACCTCCTCAACACCACGGGTCAAAGACTGTGCTACAGATCTGGGAGGGGGTGAGACAGATGGAGATAGAGGGGAGGAGAGAGAAGACAGAGAGGAAGAGAGACAGGGGGAGAGAGAGAGAGAAAGACAGATGAGGAGAGAGTAAGAGACAGAAATAGAGAGAGACAGAGAGAGGGGGAGAGAGAGACAGAAATAGAGAGAGAGTGAGAGATCCCGATGCAGATCTCTGGGGAGGAGGAGGAGGGAGAGGAGGAGAGGAGGAGAGAGAAGGAGGAGGAGGAGAGAGGGGAGGAGGAGAAGGAGGAGGAGAAGGAGGAGGAGGGGGAGGAGAAGGAGGAGAAGGAGGAGGAGGAGGAAGGAAGGAGGAGAGGAAGAGAAGTAGGAGGAGGAGAAGGACAGGAGGAGGAGAACGAGAAGGAGGAGGAGAAGGAGAGGTGGAGGAGGAGAAGGAGAAGGAGGAGAGAGAAGAGAAGGAGGAGAAGAGAAGGAGGAGGAGGAGGAGGAGAGAGGAGAAGGAGAGGAGAAGGAGAGAGAGAGGAGGAGGAGGAGAGTAGGAGAGGAGGAGGAAAGGAGAAGGAGGAGGAGAGAAGAGAAGGAGGGAGATACGAGAGGAGAGGAGAAGAGGGAGGAGAGGAGAAGAGAAGGAGAGAGGAGAAGGAGGAGGAGGAGAGAAAGGAGGAGAAGGAGGAGGAGGAAGGAGGAGGAGAAGAGAAGGAGAGGAGAAGGAGAAGGAGGAGGAGGAGGAGGAGGAGGAGGAGGAGGAGAAGGAGGAGGAGGAGGAGGAGGAGGAGGAGGAGGAGAGGAGGAGGAGGAGGAGGAGGAGGAGGAGGAGAAGAGAAGGAGGAGGAGGAGAAAGGAGGAGGAGGAGGAGAACGAGGAGGAGGAGGAGAAGGAGGAGGAGGAGAAGGAGGAGAAGGAGAAGGAGGAGGAGGAGGAAGAGAAGGAGGAGGAGGAGGAGAGAAGGAGGAGGAGAGAGGAGAAAGGAGGAGGAGGAGAAGGAGGAGGAGGAAGAGAAGGAGGAGGAGGAGGAGAAGGAGAGAGGAGGAGGAGAGGAGAAGGAGGAGGGAGGAGAGAGGAGGAGGAGGAGAAGAAGGAGGAGGAGGAGAGAGAGGAAGGAGGAGAAGGAGGAAGGAGGAGAAGGAGAAGGAGGAGAGGAGAGAGAGGAGGAGGAGAAGAGGAGGAGGAAGGAAGGAGGGAGGAGGAGGAGGAGGAGGAGAAGGAGAGGAGGAGAAGGAGGAGAGGAGGAGAAGGAGGAGGAGAGGAGAAGAGAAGGAGGAGGCGAGGAGAAGGAGGAGAGGAGAAGGAGGAGGAGGAAGGAAGAGTGAGGAGGAGGAGAAGGAGGAGGAGGAGGAGGAGGAGGAGGAGGAGGAAGGAGGAGGAGGAGGAGGAGAAGGACAGAGAAGAGGAGGAGGAGGAGGAGAAGGAGGAGAAGGAGGAGGAGGAGGAGGAGGAGGAGAAGAAGGAGGAGGAGAACGAGGAGGAGGAGAGAAGGGGGAGGAGGGAGGAGAAGGAGAAGGAGGAGGAGGAGAATGAGGAGGGAGGAGGGAAGGAGGAGAGAGAAGAGAGGAGGAGGAGGAGAAGGAGAGAAGGAGAGGAGAAGAGAGAGGGAGGAGGAGGAGGAGAAGGACGGAGGAGGAGGAGGAAGGAGAAGGAGGAGAGGAGGAGAAGGAGCAGGAGAGGAGGAGAGAGGAGGAGGAGAACGAGGAGGAGGAGAAGGAGGAGGAGGAGGAGGAGGAGAAGGAGGAGGAGGAGAAGGAGAGAGGAGGAGGAGGAGAAGGAGGAGGAGAAGGAGAAGGAGGAGGAGGAGGAGAAGGAGGAGGAGGAGAAGGAGGAGAAGGAGGAGGAGGAGAAGGAGGAGGAGGAGGAAGAGAAGGAGGAGGAGGAGGAGAAGGACGAGAAGGAGGAGAAGGAGGAGGAGGAGGAGAAGGAGGAGAAGGAGGAGGAGGAGGAGAAGGAGGAGAAGGAGGAGGCTCAAAGGCCTCTGTGATATGAATGACATTTGTTCTCGATCGTCAACACTCTTCTTGGCAGTAAACAGGAAGTGTCTTTGATAATGTGTGTTTCCAAAGAGAAGGTTCCAGTTCTGTTTCTGGTCCTTGTTATAAACTTCAACATGAATCAAAATGTCAAATTTTCATGATAAAGTCTGAATAAAACCGTCTGTGGAGTTGGTTCTAATGATTCAACTCATTTCCAAACTGTAAAAAGTGTAAATATAGACTCGTGTTGTTTACTAGATCTCACTGTATTCATCAAATCAGAACTTTTCTTTTGTTTTTCGAGCTGAAGATACTAAAGAAATGTGAAAAACAAGTAATATTTTCTCAAGTGGAAAAATAATGATCCAATTTTAGTCCAAACAAGTGCATTTCCTCTGATGGGAGCCACTTTTCCTTGTTTTATCTGAGCCACTTTTTGCAGTGAGTGTTGTAGTGATCACAGAGGACTTTGCCACATGTGCCACTTGTGGCTGAGGATACTTTAGATAATATTAGCGACTTATTAAACGAGCGCGAGGTCTGTGCAGAGAAATATCAGACCGTGGCCATTTTGTACAGACCGAGCCTTAATGCACAGACCGAGCCTTAATGCACAGACCGAGCCTTAATGCACAGACCGAGCCTTAATGTACAGACCGAGCCTTAATGTACAGACCGAGCCTTAATGCACAGACAGAGCCTTAATGCACAGACAGAGCCTTAATGCACAGACCGAGCCTTAATGCACAGACCGAGCCTTAATGCACAGACCGAGCCTTAATGCACAGACAGAGCCTTAATGCACAGACAGAGCCTTAATGCACAGACAGAGCCTTAATGCACAGACCGAGCCTTAATGCACAGACAGAGCCTTAATGCACAGACAGAGCCTTAATGCACAGACAGAGCCTTAATGCACAGACCGAGCCTTAATGCACAGACCGAGCCTTAATGCACAGACCGAGCCTTAATGCACAGACCGAGCCTTAATGCACAGACAGAGCCTTAATGCACAGACAGAGCCTTAATGCACAGACAGAGCCTTAATGCACAGACCGAGCCTTAATGCACAGACCGACCTTAATGCACAGACCGAGCCTTAATGCACAGACCGAGCCTTAATGCACAGACCGAGCCTTAATGCACAGACCGAGCCTTAATGCACAGACCGAGCCTTAATGCACAGACAGAGCCTTAATGCACAGACCGAGCCTTAATGCACAGACAGAGCCTTAATGCACAGACAGAGCCTTAATGCACAGACCGAGCCTTAATGCACAGACCGAGCCTTAATGCACAGACCGAGCCTTAATGCACAGACGAGCCTTAATGCACAGACAGAGCCTTAATGCACAGACCGAGCCTTAATGCACAGACCGAGCCTTAATGCACAGACCGAGCCTTAATGCACAGACCGAGCCTTAATGCACAGACCGAGCCTTAATGCACAGACCGAGCCTTAATGCACAGACCGAGCCTTAATGCACAGACCGAGCCTTAATGCACAGACCGAGCCTTAATGCACAGACAGAGCCTTAATGCACAGACCGAGCCTTAATGCACAGACCGAGCCTTAATGCACAGACCGAGCCTTAATGCACAGACCGAGCCTTAATGCACAGACCGAGCCTTAATGTACACAGACCGAGCCTTAATGCACAGACCGAGCCTTAATGCACAGACAGAGCCTTAATGCACAGACAGAGCCTTAATGCACAGACAGAGCCTTAATGCACAGACAGAGCCTTAATGCACAACGAGCCTTAATGACAGACCGAGCCTTAATGCACAGACCGAGCCTTAATGCACAGACCGAGCCTTAATGCACAGACCGAGCCTTAATGCACAGACCGAGCCTTAATGCACAGACCGAGCCTTAATGCACAGACCGAGCCTTAATGCACAGACCGAGCCTTAATGCACAGACCGAGCCTTAATGCACAGACCGAGCCTTAATGCACAGACAGAGCCTTAATGCACAGACCGAGCCTTAATGCACAGACCGAGCCTTAATGCACAGACAGAGCCTTAATGCACAGACCGAGCCTTAATGCACAGACAGAGCCTTAATGCACAGACAGAGCCTTAATGCACAGACAGAGCCTTAATGCACAGACAGAGCCTTAATGCACAGACCGAGCCTTAATGCACAGACCGAGCCTTAATGCACAGACCGAGCCTTAATGCACAGACAGAGCCTTAATGCACAGACGAGCCTTAATGCACAGACCGAGCCTTAATGCACAGACCGAGCCTTAATGCACAGACCGAGCCTTAATGCACAGACCGAGCCTTAATGCACAGACCGAGCCTTAATGCACAGACCGAGCCTTAATGCACAGACAGAGCCTTAATGCACAGACAGAGCCTTAATGCACAGACCGAGCCTTAATGCACAGACAGAGCCTTAATGCACAGACCGAGCCTTAATGCACAGACCGAGCCTTAATGCACAGACCGAGCCTTAATGCACAGACAGAGCCTTAATGCACAGACAGAGCCTTAATGCACAGACCGAGCCTTAATGCACAGACCGAGCCTTAATGCACAGACCGAGCCTTAATGCACAGACCGAGCCTTAATGCACAGACCGAGCCTTAATGCACAGACCGAGCCTTAATGCACAGACAGAGCCTTAATGCACAGACCGAGCCTTAATGCACAGACCGAGCCTTAATGCACAGACAGAGCCTTAATGCACAGACCGAGCCTTAATGCACAGACCGAGCCTTAATGCACAGACCGAGCCTTAATGCACAGACAGAGCCTTAATGCACAGACAGAGCCTTAATGCACAGACCGAGCCTTAATGCACAGACAGAGCCTTAATGCACAGACCGAGCCTTAATGCACAGACGAGCCTTAATGCACAGACCGAGCCTTAATGCACAGACGAGCCTTAATGCACAGACCGAGCCTTAATGCACAGACCGAGCCTTAATGCACAGACCGAGCCTTAATGCACAGACCGAGCCTTAATGCACAGACCGAGCCTTAATGCACAGACAGAGCCTTAATGCACAGACAGAGCCTTAATGCACAGACCGAGCCTTAATGCACAGACCGAGCCTTAATGCACAGACCGAGCCTTAATGCACAGACCGAGCCTTAATGCACAGACCGAGCCTTAATGCACAGACGAGCCTTAATGCACAGACAGAGCCTTAATGCACAGACAGAGCCTTAATGCACAGACAGAGCCTTAATGCACAGACCGAGCCTTAATGCACAGACCGAGCCTTAATGCACAGACCGAGCCTTAATGCACAGACCGAGCCTTAATGCACAGACCGAGCCTTAATGCACAGACCGAGCCTTAATGCACAGACGAGCCTTAATGCACAGACCGAGCCTTAATGCACAGACCGAGCCTTAATGCACAGACGAGCTAATACGACGAGCCTTAATGCACAGACCGAGCCTTAATGCACAGACCGAGCCTTAATGCACAGACCGAGCCTTAATGCACAGACGAGCCTTAATGCACAGACCGAGCCTTAATGCACAGACCGAGCCTTAATGCACAGACCGAGCCTTAATGCACAGACCGAGCCTTAATGCACAGACAGAGCCTTAATGCACAGACCGAGCCTTAATGCACAGACGAGCCTTAATGCACAGACCGAGCCTTAATGCACAGACCGAGCCTTAATGCACAGACCGAGCCTTAATGCACAGACCGAGCCTTAATGCACAGACAGAGCCTTAATGCACAGACCGAGCCTTAATGCACAGACCGAGCCTTAATGCACAGACCGAGCCTTAATGCACAGACCGAGCCTTAATGCACAGACCGAGCCTTAATGCACAGACGAGCCTTAATGCACAGACCGAGCCTTAATGCACAGACCGAGCCTTAATGCACAGACCGAGCCTTAATGCACAGACCGAGCCTTAATGCACAGACCGAGCCTTAATGCACAGACCGAGCCTTAATGCACAGACCGAGCCTTAATGCACAGACCGAGCCTTAATGCACAGACCGAGCCTTAATGCACAGACCGAGCCTTAATGCACAGACCGAGCCTTAATGCACAGACCGAGCCTTAATGCACAGACCGAGCCTTAATGCACAGACCGAGCCTTAATGCACAGACCGAGCCTTAATGCACAGACAGAGCCTTAATGCACAGACCGAGCCTTAATGCACAGACCGAGCCTTAATGCACAGACCGAGCCTTAATGCACAGACCGAGCCTTAATGCACAGACCGAGCCTTAATGCACAGACGAGCCTTAATGCACAGACAGAGCCTTAATGCACAGACCGAGCCTTAATGCACAGACCGAGCCTTAATGCACAGACAGAGCCTTAATGCACAGACAGAGCCTTAATGCACAGACCGAGCCTTAATGCACAGACAGAGCCTTAATGCACAGACCGAGCCTTAATGCACAGACCGAGCCTTAATGCACAGACCGAGCCTTAATGCACAGACCGAGCCTTAATGCACAGACCGAGCCTTAATGCACAGACAGAGCCTTAATGCACAGACCGAGCCTTAATGCACAGACCGAGCCTTAATGCACAGACCGAGCCTTAATGCACAGACCGAGCCTTAATGCACAGACCGAGCCTTAATGCACAGACCGAGCCTTAATGCACAGACCGAGCCTTAATGCACAGACCGAGCCTTAATGCACAGACCGAGCCTTAATGCACAGACCGAGCCTTAATGCACAGACCGAGCCTTAATGCACAGACAGAGCCTTAATGCACAGACAGAGCCTTAATGCACAGACCGAGCCTTAATGCACAGACAGAGCCTTAATGCACAGACAGAGCCTTAATGCACAGACCGAGCCTTAATGCACAGACCGAGCCTTAATGCACAGACAGAGCCTTAATGCACAGACAGAGCCTTAATGCACAGACAGAGCCTTAATGCACAGACCGAGCCTTAATGTACAGACCGAGCCTTAATGCACAGACCGGGCCGTGGCGAGGTTAATAAATGTTTTCATTAAATGACTCTCGTCTGTGTCTTTACCAATGCTTTTGAGATATT